AAAGGGACAAGAAGAGAGGGACACAACCTAGAACAGATAATGGATGTCTATTCTATTAACATTTCTACATCTGGAGAATGGGGCTGTTTTATATGTTGTCTTAATTCAAAGGGCCCCTGCCTGTCTTTGCCTAGGGCCCCACATTTCCTAAATCCGCCCCTGACTACATAACAGCATAAAGTATCAGCGGAGGAGAAACTGTGTGGATTTATGCAGCAGTGTTCGGAACGTTTAGATTTCTCTTGTCTCATATATTTAGTTATTTTATTTATCCAGTGAAAAATGTTTTTACCTGCAAGAACAACAAAATGTCTGAGTGAGAATTTAGACAAAACATATTTATTCCCACGACAAGCCAAATATTTCTCAGGGTTTGTTAAAGTGTGTTTAATTTGTTCTGACTGTGACCAACCTTCACAGTTTTTCCATCAACATAAGTAAGGAAGACAAACTGATTACGAAGGTCTGTATGATGAACTGTTCTCTCTTTGCAAAGATAAGAAAATAAAATGCAGACAGAGAAATTCATCGCTCTCCGGTTATTTAACTGGGGTGAATGGTTGAATACTTTTTTCCCTCTACAATACTCACCTGTCTGACCTTGCTGAGCTCCTCCTGCAGCTCGTGGTGAACCCTCTGCGACTCGACGAGCTGCTCCTGCAGAGGCGAGCAGCACATGTGGCTCAAACCTGGAACGCTTCCTGTTTAACAACCTTTTTTTTTCCTGTGGTTACCTGGAGAGCCTTGATCTCCTTCAGAGCCTCGATGTGCTCCTTCCTCAGCTTCTCCATCTCCTCCAGGTCGTCTGAGTCCGACAGCGATGGCTGAACAAACATGGAGGAAATCAGAGGTGTAAAAAGATCCCAAAGCTTCGTCTGATTGGGGAGCTCTGAGGGCGGGGCGCACTGATGATGGGGCTCTCAGACACTAAACCATCTTATATATGTTCATTATTTTTAGCTTTTCTTGGTTTCAGTTTAACGATGTTAAAACACAAAAAGCTTATTTGTAAAATCGAGTTGTTAAGCCTGTAAAGATGAAAATGAGTCAGTGGGTGTTTTGGCCTAAAAGGTGATTCCCAGTCTGTTCCTTATCATCCTGAATGATGGAGGATTTCATTCTTAAAATGATGGAAATATGTTCAGTTTCTTTGCTGGTTGGTTTTTTTAATCTGAAACTAAATGCAGGTTTCAGTTAGGGTTGTCAAAAGTATCGAAACTCAAAAAAGTATCGATACTGAAATGTTGTATCCGGATACAATACTCGTTTTTAAAAGTAT